AGACTTTTCCCAACTTCCTGCTGCTTTTTCCAGCTTTTCCCAAGAATTTCCATACTTTCACCCGAAAATTTTGCTGTCGACCCTGAGGGAGGGGAGGAGGGCGGGGGGTAAATAGTACACATGAAACAGGAAGAATTCACGAAACGTCAACCAACTGTCCCAGAAGGCCAGAAAGTAAACAAAAGTAAATACGACCCCCCCCCCCAGCAACGAGCTGTACAACCCCCATTCTTCTACTCTTTCTTCCGTGGAGCGAGAAAAATCAACTATCAAAATAAATTTTCTCAGCCCAAATACGACCCCCTCTCCCGGCGACCAAATACGACCATCCTGTTGGGGATTCCCCAACAACGACGCGCCCTCCCTGGTCGTCCATACAGAGGTACACCAATGGGGTGGGTGAGATGGTGATGTGAACGATTCCCAAATTTTCCTCTTCCAGTGCTATCCCGCACTCAAAGCCTATCTACCTTTTTACCGAATCGTTCCTACTCCTGAACAGTCTCTCAAAACCTTGTCAATTTTTTTCGATAAAAAAATGGCTAACTTGAAATAAAAACTCGAGCGGGAGTTCCCCTCCATCACGGCTCGGAAAAATTTCCCTTCAAGCCGAGTATGATCCCTTCTTCCCCTACAATAAAATACACCCCCTTGATGGCCCAATGATGCTGTACCGTTCGTCTCCACTCTGGTAAGCTTGAGCTCAAGGGAATCGCCGACGTCACTAACAAGTGGCCCTTCCAAAGTGTTGTATCCTAATGATTTGATCAGATCAAGACGAATCTTTGTTCTTTGGAATTTACTTTTTTGGCTTTTGCGTCATTTTTTGAAGGACCGTTAACAGTAATTTGTGAGGTATAGTAAAATCAGCTTGAAGTGCTTCTCAATGAAATCACTCTAGGCGCTCGATGCCCGACGTAAGGAACACGACATCCAGCGTGGTGCCTTGAAGCTGGAATGGTCCAAACTTACCAAATCATTGGTGAGTTAGAAAAGCACAGCTCCAGTGGCTACAATTTTCGGTTCAGCTTGGAGGGGCATTTTCGTGGTTCCTATCGATCACTGCCGATGCCTTTCGTAGATACCTGTAAATTCTTGTAGACCTATGCAATGGCAGGAGCATCCTTAGCACTTGACAGGAGCTTACAGGTCTCATCAAGGTGTGACGTGAGTTTATTAAGCAGGAACCGCTAAAGGTAGCCAGCGGAAAGTTCAAAATGCCCCTCCCAAGCCGAACCGCGCTCAAATATCGTTTCTTTCATCACTGCATTTAACCGCATAATATTGATTGCGGGAGAATTAGAGGATTGTGTTTAGCACGACTGCGAAGACATGGTCGAAAAATGCCGTGTCACATTGAAACTTCGCGAGGAGGCGGTTCGTAAAGCCCGAGAAAATTCGCTACGAAGCGAATCCGTCACAATCTCGCCCTCAATGAGCACGGATCCCATGAAACGACGTCGTGAAATGGAAAAGAAGAAACGAATCGAAGAAGAGGCCATCATCAAGGTGAGCTACTAAATATCCCGATATTGTCGGGTATGTTTTCTTTTACAAAAAGTCGCTTTCATTTTTCTTCTGAGGACTTTTAATCATTGACGCTTCTTGATGAATTCTTTCAGTTGGCGTGTTTTTTTATGTTACTTCTGAGTTTTGTCATTCTGATTCATGTAACAGTCGAGCCGAGGTATGGGCAAAATCTTTTCACTGAGCGAGACTCGGGTCAGGAAATCGTCTGGGCAGCGCTTCCCTTGCTCAGATCTTGGCTCGACCACGAGCATCGTAGTCTTAGTACTTCAATTTTTGTTTTGTAATATTAAATAGCAAACGAGATTCATTCTAACTGTTCCTTTTTAGAAAGCTGAAGCCGAAAAGCAACTCGCTATCAGCTCTGCCGAACTGAGACGGAAACGGAAGGAACTGGAAAACGCAAAGGTTTTAGTTCCTATTTTTCGTACTTCTGCCACTTCTGCCCTCCTTTTCCTAGAATTTTATTGATTTTCTAAAAGTCTATGATGTTGGTTGACTAATCATCATCGGAGTCTAATTTGGGCCCATATTTGATCCTAGGGGAGTCACATTTGTATTGTTGGGAAAAATTCGAAATCATTCAAGAACCTTATAAGCTCTCAAAATATGGTGACTGTCAAATTAGGGATTTTACCGTATCCGGTGTGTACTCCTCCCAACCGGCTGAGAATTTCATTTCCTTGGGAAATAGAGGGAGAAAGGGCAGGTTAAGTTGAATGAAAGTTGAAGGGGGTCGTACTTGAAACTGAAGTGGGTGGCAAGCGGCCATTGTGCTGAATGGCCAACATTCCTCAGCGCTCATTATTAACACATGCAGAACGCATAATTGCCTCACGGATTTCTCCGCATAAAATCACCCCATTCCAGCGGATTTCACCCCTCCGCCACAGGGGCCACACTGAATCATGGAATTTTGCTTTCCAAGAGGTTCACCTCAGTTTGAATTTGGTAAACGCCTATCACACAGCATTCAATCAGCGTTTTTCAATGTTTTCCTCCACGCCATCATTACTCCCCTGTCATAGGAGGAGTTCAAGGCGCATGGTGTTACCCAACCATGCCCCGGAACACACATCTGGCTGGCAGTTGGTTTAGAAGTTTTTCTTTTCGTAAGATCTATATCTACAGACCTTAAACACAACTTGCACAGATGTATGAATTTACCGATGAGCGCCGGTGGCATGTTCTAATTTAGCCCAGCTTCATTAAGGACATGTCTTCTTCTGCCTCTTCACGAAATCCCTCTTCCTTTGCAGTCAGTCTAAGGGAGGATAATAATTAGTGTTAGTCCCCTCTCTAGGAAACGCAAAATTCCCGAAAGGCTCTTTAAATAGACATCGCAAGCTTCTTACCTCCGGAACGATTATACTGAATATCTAATTTTAAACCTCCTTTTTTTACTGTAAAGCATGCGCAATCCAAATCCTAGTTTTCTTTTCTTAGCCTGCCCGTTTCTCTGAGCTTCCCCGAAGAAATGTGCTGACAGCAATTTTGTTGTGCGAATAGCTTTTTTCATTTCGAGCGTCTGAGCAGTCGCAGTTAATCTTCCCTCTCCCTAACGAAGTCGTCTGAGCGTGCAAGTCTCCAAGGCGTGAACAATTTGTATTGCTGCATTTTCGTTTCGAGACGTAATTGTTGCCCGTCTTCATCAGCACCTGAGTGGGTGGAAAGTGAAGGTGTACTCGCTGTTTTGTGGGCGATTTAGCAATCTCCTGCAAGGAGTGATTAAGTGGGTCGTGAGTGACGTCGGCAATTCCTTTTTTGAGCGCATTACGTCTTTAGCCCGTGAGGAAACCTTAATGGATGCGTTTTCAGGCATCACAAGAACTCTCAGGTAAGGGCAGAAGTCAGAACCGTGGCATTGGACAGCAGTTTTCATGCTTGAACACCGCATGACCTTTATCAATATAGTTGTTGAGAACAAAAGACTCGGAGCAGGCAAGGAGGTCCGAAATGCGGCGTCACGGGGGAGGGGGGGGTCACTAGGATACAGCATCGTTGTGCTAAACTAGTCGGGGGGAGTCGTACTCGGCCGCTTGAGGGGTGGGCGTAAAGGCAGGGTCTTTGGCCACCAAATAGCACACTAATGTCATCGCTAACTTTGATGGAGCGAACCGAAAGCTGCAGAGGCCGGAGCTAAGAAAGACTACAAAATATCAAAGCAATCGATTGACAATATCAATAGTTAGCATGAACTCGTAAGTACGAAAATAACTAGATAATACGTCTCAAACAGATTAGGTTTTCGACGACATTCCAAACACTAAACAATCTGTTGCATGGACAAAAATCACCTTAAATCAGAAGTTACACCCACGTCTGCATAGCACGCAATGCACGGCTCACACCCAGACCAAATCGATCAATGATAACCGACTTATTTGAGTGGCTCAGAATGTCGCCAATGTGACCTCAGATC